CCACGAGATATAATGAAATGGGAGCGGGTGGCACGCCTGCCACGAGATACAGGAAATGGGATCAGATTGCACGCCTGCAACAAGATGTGAAAAGAAAGTGAAATCTGCCTTTGTTTTCCCTATTCTTGTTAGTGGTTGGATTTTGATTCCTTTATAGTTCTCTTGATATTCTGTTTTTACCTGTTATTTCCCGAAGCATGTTTCCCCTCCCATCTTTACTTGTTTATTTCCGTATTTCTTTTTCGCTATATATATTTGAAATGTACAAGTTTATTTGGTAGTCTGGTCCTAGCCTCGTCACTATTTTGCCGAGGTTAGGCTAGGTACTTACCAGCACATGGAGTCGGTTGTGCTGATACTACATTTTACACTCTTTTGTGCAGACCTTAGTGTTGTAGACTTCGGACCGCAGTGAGATTGCTGAATCTTGTTCATCAGGCGACCCGAGGTAGCCGTGCAGACGTTCATAGGCCTTGGCGTCTCCTTCTATCTACCTTCCTGTTTCTTACATGTATTTCCAGAGACAGTGTCGTATTTAATTCTTTCAGACCTTTATTTGTAGTATTCTTAGACCGTCTGTGAAGCTATGTCACCAATTCTGGGTAGTCGAGACTCAAACAGTTGTATTAGATATTCATGTTCAGATAGCTTATTGTTTCTTTCTTCCGCTCATGTTAAATTCCGTTGTTTAAATGTTATTATTTCGAAATTGTTAATGAATATAAAATTGGTAAAAAGATAAATTATGCAATTAATTGGCTTGCCTAGCTCGTACTAGCAGGCACCATTACGATTCCCGAGGATGGAAATCTCTAAAATATATAATACTCCGTTATAGAACAAATTTCTTAAGTGTTTTACTTTATATAATAATTCTCTCTGTCCGAAAACCAAGTGTTTTGCTTTATGTTTTTAAGTTGTTCCAAACTTCTATTCAATTTGCATAACACATTTATAGCCTGTTTGGCCAAGCTTAATTTTGGTCAAAATTGTTTTTCTTTTTGCCAAAAGCATTTTTGGCCTCAATTTGAGGTGTTTGGCTAGAAGGAAAAAAAATGTTTTTGAAGAGAAGCAGAAAAAAGTAGCTTCTCTCCAAAAGCACTTTTTTGAGAAGCACTTTTGAAAAAAATACACTTAGAAGCAGTTTTCTAAAGCTTGTCCAAACACTAATTGCTGCTCAGAAGTGCTTTTCAAACTAATTAGCCAAATACAAACTGTTTCTCACCAAAAGTACTTTTGAAAAAAAGCACTTCTCAAAATAAGCTGATTTTTGCAGCTTGGCCAAACGAGCTATTATTCCCAACTAAACTCTTTTGTCGGCGTTCTTTATATTATCATGGAAATCTTTTGCAATTTATTTTAATAATGAAAAGGTTCAAATTCTTTAATACAACAGAAATTAGGAGGGAGGAATGATTTGTTTCTCATAATTAACAGCAGCAAGTTTAACGAAACTGGGCTGTTACCCTTCTATTTCATGTACAGTAAAGTAAAATATTAGTAAACGTACATATGAATGATATTGTTACATTATTACCAAAACTTCCCTGTCAATAATATGCGTGAAAAGCAACGATCAACCCCATAATGACGAAATGAGTAGATATACACTACCATCTTGGTAAAGTTTGATACAAAATATACTTTGATGAAGACATGCACTAAACTTTTATCATACAAGCTAAGTTAAGAAGCAATAAATTAAAGATCATAGCATATCAAAATGACAGATTCCAAAAAGAAAAAAAAGATACCGAGAAAGAAAAAAATTCATAACCTATAAATTAACTTCATCTCTCATACGTAAGTTGGCACGTCGCATTCATGCAATAACCATAATATATTTCTATACTTTTTCTCTGTTGTTTCTGATTTTTCTGTTTGTCTGTTTGTACACTACTTCTTTAGCTAGCTTTGTGTATATATTTAACACCGTAGCTAGCCACCACATGTACCAGAGTAGCAGAGAAAAATTAACAAAATTAAACATCAGTAGAAATGGAAGGAAGAAACTTCCTTAGATATCTTTTCTTTCTCATGAGCATAATCTTGCTCTTATTTTTCACTTTTTTAAATTTACCATCTCCTCTTTCTCACACAACTGAGTTGTTGGACTGCACCACTTACTCCCCATGGTGCAGTTCAAGAAAACCTTTTTTTCTCCGAAATTCCAATAAAGACAAAAAACACTACGCCGATTTCCCAAATCACCCTTTAGACCCGTTAACCATACAAGAAATTCAAAAGGTGAAAAAAATTATTAACTCCCTCGATGATTTTAAAGTAAAGGGTAGTTATGTACTTCACTCTGTGGTACTTGAAGAGCCAGAGAAAGAGGTGGTGTTGAATTGGAGAAAAGGCCAACGGCTTCCGTCGAGGAAGGCGTCGGTCGTTGCACGTGCACACGGTGATGTGCACGTGCTCACCGTGGATATTGAGGCGGATCGTGTGACCCACCGTGAAATGGATCATCTTTCGGGTTACCCGATCTTGACTATCGAGGATATGATCACGGCGACTGCTGCCCCGCTTGGTAACTCTGATTTTAACCGTACGATTATTCAGCGTGGAGTTGATTTGGGTGATCTTGCTTGTTTGCCTATCTCCACTGGTTGGTATGGTGAGTGTCAATTTTCTTATATTACAAGTTTGATGGTGAAATTCTTACTATATATCGTTACAATTTAGGTGTGTTTGTTTTTGGTTTGAGCATGACATGATAAAGTTTTTGTCTTATTGTATTCAATAAATTGGCAAAACGGAGATGAACTTGTATTTAATGAATTAAACATTGTTTAAAATGAAAGTAGAGGTGAACCTATTATATTTTTAAAATTATAAATTCAGTCTTATTTTTTGTTATAGTTATTGTAAATTTTTATACATAGTAAATTTATACTACACATGAAAAGTGATGAACTCAGATGAACTCGATGTTACAAAGTTGTATCTGGCTGATATACCTTTTTTTTAATTATAATAAACTTGGAGAAGTTTAGTATATGGAAAGTTTTCATTTTGGTGAAAGTGTTTCCGATTTTTAAACAACTAGTTTTAGAGTACGCGCTTTGCGCGTGTAGTTATATCAATGAGTATATAATTTTAAAAAATTACGTAAATATTATTAAATAATATATTTGAATTATTGAATAAAAATTAAAAAAATAATTTATTTATTTTTAATTTGGGATTCGAGCCTTTACAATGATATAGAAAATAGAGATACTTTTTTAAACTCCTTCTTACTCGAATAACATCTTTTTCTCTTCATCGATGTTTTCACATAATATTTAAAAATTATATTTAATTATTAGAAAAATAGTTAATTAAGTACATACATCTTAACTTAATAGTAAGAATATATAGTGTCCTCCCCTTAGAATTATAAGTTCAAACATATTTCATATAAAAATTGTCGTAAACAAATATAAGCAAAGGATAATGTAATACTGTTATTTCTCCCCAAACAATTTTTATGTTAAGACAATGTAATATTGTTATTTCTCCCAAACAATATAAGTAAATGATAATAGATCTTTGTGGTCTGGGCCTTACCTGGACCCCGCACATATAGTGCACCGAGCTTTCTTTAATATTTATTTTAAAGTCCTAAATATTAGGACTTCCTACATAATTTAACACAAGAAATATTTTATAACCAAATTAGTTGATTTCAAAGTAATGTATTACGATAATAACTAAATTACGATTTTGTCTAATGTGAATTTTAATTTTAAATGATAAAAAAAGCGAACAATATTTCATTAAGGGCCTTCGTGTATTTAATATAGATAGATAGAACAATATGTGAGTTATTATGTATTCTAGAAATTAATCAATTTAGTAGTGTACTTGATTAATCTTCTCTTCTTCTTTTTTTAACGTTTTAATTTAAAATCCTACAAATGATATGGAGATTAGACGTGGTAAAAAGAGAGTATTGTTTTTCCTTTTGAAACAAAAGTCTTTATTGTATTAAAATCACGTCTTCCTATTGCAAATAAAATTGTAATACAATCTAATAAGGAAAGATTAACAAATTAATTCTAGTTGATTTTAAAGTTCTAACTTTAGGAAAATTAGCATAAATGGTAATTGAATGTTTATTCCTAAATATTAGGAAGGCAACTGAAATTACAATTTTATCTAGTGTAAAGTCGATTTTTTAAGGGTAAAACAGTCGAACGACATTTCGCTATGGGCCTTCGTGCTTTTAATATAGTATAGATAAAAAAAAAATTAAAACAATACAAACATCTTTTTGGCGAAATGACGAGAGGTAAAAATTATTCTCACTGATGTGTACATGCACTAAATTATACCATCATAGTTAAGTAATAGATCAAGCTAATAAATAATGTGTATTAGTAATTAATTTCGGTTTGATGGTGACCTATGTGAAGATACTTATATAATTGTTGAGTTGTACAATGATCAGATTTTGGATAAGTTTTTTCCATTATCAGTTGTCTCCCTTTTTGTTTTGTGACATCAGACATTAGATACTTTTCTGCGTACTGCAATATTTAATATGTCCTTGGTACCTCGGTATGTAATATATATAAGCAGTGGAGCCAAATTTTAAATGATGTCAAAATATAAAGAAATAAACTCACCAAAGTATCAATATATAGTATATATATATTTATTTATTTTTAAAATTACCTATCTACACACTATAAATTTCCAAATTTCCGACGAAGGGTATCGGTTGACGCCCTTAGGCGCATGTGGCTCCGCCACTGAATATAAGTATATTAAATATACTCATTATTACTTATTGTCTGGTTAATGATGAGACACATACTTAGCGGTTTTAATATATACAATTGTCCATTGTTAATTAATTTTGCTTTATTTTAATTTTCAGGAAAAGTTGAGGAGAAAAGAAGAGTAATTAAAGTTCAGTGCTATACAATGAAGGACACAATTAATTTCTACATGAGACCCATTGAAGGACTAACAGTACTACTCGATTTAGACACCAAACAAGTTATACAAATTTTAGACGAGGGAAAGAACATACCAATACCAAAGGCCGCCGACACAGACTATCGTTTCTCTACTCAAAAAAATACACAAAAACTAAACTTACTCAAGCCAATATCTATCGAACAACCAAACGGTCCAAGTTTCACTATAGAGGATAACCATATAGTGAAATGGGCAAACTGGGAATTTCACCTTAAACCCGACCCGAGAGCCGGTGTGATTATATCCCGGGTCATGGTCCAGGATCCGGATACGGGGAAAATGAGAAATGTGATGTACAAAGGATTTACATCGGAGCTTTTTGTACCGTATATGGATCCTTCGGATGCATGGTATTTTAAGACGTATATGGATGCTGGAGAATACGGGTTCGGGTTACAAGCTATGCCACTTGACCCGTTAAATGATTGCCCACGTAATGCATATTATATGGATGGTGTGTTTGTGGCAGCTGATGGAACGCCATATGTTCGTTCGAATATGATTTGTGTGTTTGAAAGCTATGCTGGTGATATTGGATGGCGACACGCTGAATCTCCTATCACTGGTTTGCCTGTAAGTGATATAATATTTTTAGGCTAATTTCAATTAGCGGCGGAGCTAAAATTTTTACTAAGGGGTATCAAAATATAAAAAAAATAAGGAAAATTAACATATATAGTATATATACATAAAAATAATTTTTTGACCTAGCTAAACAATGTAATTTTCCGATAAAGGAGTATGAATTGACACCCCAAAACACAAGGTGTTAGAGTAGTTAATGTTTGATAGGAGTATTTGAGAAGAAGTTGTTTTGTCCCTTATTAGAAGTTATGTATTCAGCAGAATTTAGTAATTTTGAATTAAATCTTGTATTTGTATTAAAAATTCTTTAATATCTATAAATAGTTTATTTTAAATCAATAAGCAAAAAGAGAAGTTATGGGGGAGGGGTATCAACAATAGAAGTTATGTATTCGGCAGAGTTAGTAATTTTGACTTAAATTTTATATTTGTATTAAAATTTTTTTAATATGTATAAATAGTTTATTTTAAATCCAATAAGTAAAAAATTTATAATTTAAAACTAATAAACTTAAAATCTTGAATTCTATATCCCGAAGGGGTGGGGACACAAATTAGCTTGATCTTGTGCCATTTTGTAACTTCATGACAAGTACCATTCATTTGATCAATCGTCTTCACATTTAGCGGTTCAGCTAGAACTACTTAAATTTGTCTATACATTATTTGTCAACACTCAACACTGGTCACTGAACAAGTGTTCTTTCACATTTGTTTTTTTAAATTAAGTTATGTTTGACGTTTTCTGATTGTTATTTTCCGTTTGCATGAGACTTTGGACAGATTCGAGAAGTGAGGCCAAAGGTGACGTTAATGGTGAGAATGGCAGCGTCAGTAGCAAACTATGATTACATTGTGGATTGGGAGTTTCAAACGGATGGACTTATCCGAGTTAAGGTTAGCACATAATCTTAGAATAATATACTTACAATTTATATATAATATGTGTATAATCGATGAATATTCTATGTATACTGATAAAATAAGTAAATAATAGTAAGTCTGCCGACTACTTGTGTAAAATCTTATACTCACTCTACATGTCAATTAAACAAAATTAAAATCCTTTCATTTACCGTCCAAAACTCTATCAAGTAACAAGCATAAACTAGATTATCAAAATTTAAAGGTATTCAACTAAATTATTCTTATTGTTTCAAAATGAATAATTAATAATTCTAGGCCTTCTTTAGTTGCAAAGGCGGAATAAAAAATAAAAAATAAAAACTCTCTTCTTGGTTTCTGGAAGTGATAGATACTTTGGGCCATTTTTTTAAAGCTAAAATGACAGATAAAAGGACCTGAAGGAATAATATTTACTTGATCTGCATCTATCTAATTAAGCATTTTATTTTTTTAATTTGTTTTTTCAATAATATTATAAACATCTCCTAATATTTGATACTAAAGTAGTTTTCTGTATATATGTTACTCCCATTGTTATCTTTGTATACCTAATTTAAACAGAAAATAGATTTAATCTTTTATTTTTCAAAAGTAAAGTTAGAATCCGACAAAGAGTTAATGCAGGAAAACCAACCGGTAGAGTATTATTGGTAGCAAACTACTCCCTCCGGTCCAAAATAAGTGATTTTTTGGCATTTTTCTTGTGGTCCAAAATAAGTGATTTTTCCATATTTCAAAAATGAATTAATTATTTTTTTTCTGTATTGTCCTTAGAGTAAATAGTGTTGGAATATGTGTTAGGAGTATTTATGTGAGATAATAAAGGTTAATATGGTCAATTCTATTACTAATTAATGGTAAAAGGTGATTTTCTTAATCTGTGTGAAAACATCCAAAAAATCACTTATTTTGGACCGGAGGGAGTAGCAAATAGCAATCACATCAATTTAGTTATAAATCGAAAATAACGAATCTATGTATATTGTATTAAAAGGAGGGAGTATGCATTGTGGTTAAGCTAAGTGACAAACTAAAATGAAGCCACTTGACAATTTTAGGACAACATTAATAATTAGAAATTATAAATAGAAACATAATTAATGGAAGTAGTTTAATGAATCTTATACATAATCTAAATAAATCTTAGATAAATCTAATCTTTATATCAATATCTATATTTATATTTATATGTATTTTTGTATCTATATCTATATTTATATCTATATATTGATCCACTCATAGATATTCTTCTATATTAGCTAGAAATATGGAGGTAAAAATTAATTAAAAACTATAATAGAAAAAAATAAAAAATATATAAAGACGTAAATTGAGATAACTTATAACTATTTATACTTTGGAGTAAGTTAAATAATATTTTTATAGCAGAAATATTTTATTACTACAACATTTAGATATAATGTGTTCAAACAATTAAGAAAATATTTTTCTATGATTAATATTTGAATCGAGTGCAGTTAGTTTAAGTTTGAAAGTATAACATAATTTTTTGAAAATACGGTCCAATTAAGCAAATAGAATGATAAAAATTATTTGAATTTGAGATGAGAAAGTTTTTTTATTTTTATCTATATTATATTAGAATGAGTGTGGTATAAATAGATATTAAATTCAAACAAACTAATAAAAATTCACATGACAATGTAATAATATTAGGTATTGAATAATATAAAATCAAAAATAAAGAATAAATAGAGAAAAATAAAAAATCATATTTTGTATCATAGAGAAAAAGGGTAAAACTTATTGAAATTTGAGATGAGAAAGTTTTTAATATTATGATAAGAAAAGTCATAATATACGTCAACTTAACTCAAGTCTAATAGATAAAATCAAAAATTAAAAATATTGAACAATAAAAATAAATTAGAGATAATGTAAGGACATTTATAAATCATAAGTTTAGAAAATAAAATAAAGTAAATATTCAATTATTAAAAAAATTTCCTTAATTTAAATAATTTAAAATTTTTGAGCAATAGTTTTTTAAAAAAATGAATATTTATTTTATAATTAAAAAATTATATATTTATCTATACTTTATTAAAGAAAAGTAGTTGATAATGATATTAAATAAAGTTACAAGTTAAGAAAAAGCCACATAAAACGTAATAAGACTATATATTAGATTAAAAAAATAGCAAAATTATGTTAAATTATTAAAAATTTACTATTAGAAATGAAAGAAAAAGACTATTTGAATTTGAGATTAGAAAGCTCTTAAAACTATGATGAAAATGCACAAATTATGGATAATACCACGAAATTGTAGTTTTATTTATGAAAAATAAAATAAAAAATAAAAATAAAATTTTAAAAATACAAAATAAATTTCTAATAGAGGTAATTTTACTAATAAAAATTAAAAAATTAATTTGTATCTTAAAACGGAAAAATAATTATGTAAAGAAATAAAATGACAGTGAAATATTACTATAATGTTTAGATATAATATGTTCAAACAATTAAAAAAATATTTTTCTATGATTAATATCTAAATTGAATGTAGTTAGTTTAAGTTTGAAAGCATAGCATAATATTTTGAAAATGCGGTCCAATTTAGAAAATAGAATGATAAGAATTATTTGAATTTGAGATGAGATTTTTTTTTGTTTTTGAAAATATTACGTAAAGAAATAAAATAAGTAAAAATATTACTATAATATTTAGATATAATGTGTTCAAACAATTAAGAAAATAATTTTTTATGATTAAAATTTTTAAAAATACAAAACAAATTTCTAATATTTGTATTTTACTAATGAAAATTAAAAATTACATTTTATCTTATAGCTAAAAAGGAAAGAAAATTTAACTGCATCTTAATACAAAATTAATTATAAGATAACTGAATACATTTGGAACATGATAATCAAAAAACATATGTATTAATATTTTAGACTAATTAAAAATTAAAATTTAAAATAAAATATGATATTATTTTGGTTATAGGTAAAACATTAATATAAAAATTAATTAAAATTTATAGTAGGAAAGAGAATGTATAAAAAAATAGAGGTAGTGTGAGAATACTTATACTTTAATTAATATAAAAATAAAATAAAATAAAATAATTAAATTATATTTAAAAATATTACTGATAAATTTGTGATTAAAATATTCTGAATAAGAGGATATAAGCACAAAATTATAGCAAATTTCTAGGATAAAATATTTATATTTATTAAATACTATTAAAAGGATAATAAGCAAGACATTAATTAATTATTAAGCTAATAAAAAATTATATGATAGTATAAGAATATTAAATAATAAATAATATAATAACTATAAGAAAAGAATAAAAAGATAAAAGAATTTACGTAAAAATGATGTGATGAATAAGACATATTTGATTTTAAGATAAAACTAAAGTGATAGTAAGAATTTTGTTAAAATAATATTATCTAATGTGCTCAACCAAGACAGATCACAATATGACATGTTTAGTATTCTTTAATATTGATAGCGAAATGAAATGCAAGTACTAAAATCAAGGGGTTAGGTTGCTACAAATATAAACAAAAAATAGGTTGTCTACTACGAGATTTGAATAATAATTCCATATTCTGCTTCATAATTAAATTCTCATGTTATATAATTTTTATCTGAGTGGTTTATATTTTAAGGTTATTTGCACATAATTCAAACAACCTACATCGCAATTTGACATGATTTGTTCGCGCATCGCGTGGGTACTAATACTAGTATATTATAGTAAAAGGAGAGTAGTATGCATTGTGGTTAAGCCAAGTGACAAGCTAAAATGAAGTCGCCTGGAAATATTAGGACAACATTAATAATTAAAAATTATATATAGAAACATAATTAATGGAAGTAGTTTAATGAATCTTATACATAATCTACATAGATCTTAGACAAATCTAATCTATATATCTAATTTATATGTATATTTTTATCTATATCTATATCTATATTTATATTTATATATTGATCTACTCATAGATGTTTTTCTATATTAGCTAGAAATATGGAGGTGAAAACATAATTAAAAACTATAATAGAAAAAAATAAAAATATATAAAGACGTAAATTGAGATAACCTATAACTATTTATACTTTGGAGTAAGTTAAAATATAAAATAAAACTAAAATTTACTTAAGATATTAAGGATTTATTGAGTTTAAAAATTAAATAATTTCAAGCAGCAAAATAAGATCTTATATAAAGTATACAAATTATTTATAAGGTAAGAGAAAACTTAAATAATCAACAAAAGATATTTTAATAACAAGAATAATAAATTCATATTAATATTGATAAATCGTGCAAATGAATATTTTATACGTAAATATTACTACAACATTTAGATATAATGTGTTCGAACAATTAAGAAAATATTTTTCTATGATTATATTTGAATTAAGTTCATTTCGTTTAAATTTGAAAGCATAACATAATTTTTTGAAAATATGATCCAATTAAGAAAATAGAATGGTAAAAATTAGTTGAATTTGAGATGAGAATNATTAAAGAAAAGTAGTTGATAATGATATTAAATAAATTTACAAGTTAATGAAAAGCCACATAAAGTGTAATAAGACTATATATTAGATTAAAAAAATAGCAAATTATGTTAAATTATTAGAAATTTACTATTAAAAATTAAAAGAAAAGACTATTTGAATTTGAGATTAGAAAGTTCTTAAAACTATGATGTGAATGCTCAAATTATGGATAATACCACAAAATTGAAGTCTTACTTATGAAAAATAAAACAATAATAAAAAATAAAAATTTTAAATTACAAAATAAATTTCTAATATAGGTAATTTTATAAATATTAAATTTGTATCTTAAAACTAAAAAAGAAAGAATATTTATGTAAAGAAATAAAATGACAGTGAAAATATTATTACAACATTTAGATTTAATATGTTCAAACAATTAAGAAAGTATTTTTCTATGATTAATATCTTAATCGAGTGTGTTAGTTTGAGTTTGAATGCATAGCATAATTTTTTAAAAATGCGGTCCATTTTGGAAAATAGAATGGTAAGAATTATTTGAATTGGAGATGAGATTATTTTTTTGTTTTTTAAAATATTACGTAAAGAACTAAAATGACAGTAAAAATATTACTATAATATTTAGAAATAATGTGTTCAAACAATTAAGAATTTTTTTCTATGATTAAATAAAATTTTAAAAGTACAAAATAAATTTCTAATATTGGTAATCTTACTAATGAAAATTAAAAATTAAATTGTATCTTATAGCTAAAAAAGAAAGAAAACTTAACTGCATCTAATACATAATTAATTATAAGAGAACTCAGTACATTTGAAACATGATAATCAAATAACTTATGTATCAATATTTTAGACTAATTAAAAGTTACAATTTAAAATAAAATATGACATTATTTTGGCTCTAGGTAAAACATTAATATAAAAACTAATTAACATTTGTAGTAGGGAAGAGAATGTACATAAAAAAAATAGAGGTAGTGGGAGGATACTTATACTTTAAATTAATTTAAAAATAGATAAAATAAAATAATTAAATTATATTTAAAAATATTACTGATAAATTTAAATGATTAAAATATTATGAATAAGAGGATAAAAGCATAAAAATATACCAAATTTCTAGAATAAAATATTTATTTTTATTAAATACTATTAAAAGGATAAAAAGCAAGACATCAATTTAATTATAAGCTAATAAAAAAATTATATGATAGTATAATAATATTAAATATTAAATAATACAATAACTATAANAAAAAAATAGAGGTAGTGTGAGGATACTTATACTTTAAATTAATTTAAAAATAGATAAAATAAAATAATTAAATTATATTTAAAAATATTACTGATAAATTTAAATGATTAAAATATTATGAATAAGAGGATAAAAGCATAAAAATATACCAAATTTCTAGAATAAAATATTTATTTTTATTAAATACTATTAAAAGGATAAAAAGCAAGACATCAATTTAATTATAAGCTAATAAAAAAATTATATGATAGTATAATAATATTAAATATTAAATAATACAATAACTATAAGAAAAGAACAAAAATAAAGAATTTATGTAAAAGTAATGTGATGAATAAGATATATTTGACTTCCAGATAAAAATAAAGTGATAATAAGAATTTTGTTAAGATAATATGATCTAATGTGCTCGAACAAGATAAATCACAATATGGCATGTTTAGTATTCTTTAATATCGACAACGGAACGAAATACAAGTACCAAAATCAAGGGGTTAGGTTGCTACAAATATATATTAAAAAAATTGGTTGTTCACTACGAAATTTGAACAATAATTTCATATCATGTTTCATAATTAAATTCTCACGTTATATAATTTTTATCTGAGAGGTTTATATTTTAAGGTTATTTGTACATGATTCAAACAACCTACATCGCAATTTGAAATGATTTGTTCGCGCATCGCCGAGTAGTGATACTAGTTATAATAAATTGGAAAGTACTTTTTGTGGTTTTGGTGATTAGTCACATCTCAGTATCAATTCCAAGTTGAATCATTAAGTCATCGAGATTCTTCTTTCCCCATTAAGATCCCTTTGATATTAATTTTGTTCTAACTCATAAATAGTACTAGTACTAGTGACTTATCATAAATTGCATAAGTAGTAATTTGTTTGGTGATTAGTCACATCTCAATATCAGTTCCAAGTTGAATCTCAAGATTCTTTTTCCCTCATTAAGATTCCTTTAATATTAATTCTAACGATTTTTCACATCTTGTTATACTTGTCATAGGTGGGACTAAGTGGAATATTGATGGTGAAAGGCTCTCCATATGTGAACATGAATCAAGTGAACCAAAATGAGTATCTCTATGGCACTCTCTTATCAGAAAACATAATTGGTGTAATCCATGATCATTACATAACTTTCCATCTTGATATGGATATCGATGGATCGAACAATTCTTTCGTGAAGGTAAATCTCCAGAAAGCAACAACTTCTCCAGGCGAATCGCCACGAAAAAGTTACTTAAAAGCTGTTAGAAATGTGGCTAAAACTGAAAAAGATGCACAAATTAAGCTCAAGTTATATGATCCTTCAGAATTTCATGTAATTAATCCTAACAAGAAGTCAAGAGTTGGAAATCCTGCTGGTTATAAAATTGTTCCTGGTGGTACTGCTGCTAGTTTGCTTGACCTTGATGATCCACCACAGAAGAGAGGTGCTTTTACTAATAACCAAATTTGGGTCACTCCTTATAATGAATCTGAACAATGGGCTGCTGGCTTGTTTGTTTACCAAAGTCAAGGAGATGATACTCTTGCTGTTTGGTCTAACAGGTAAAACACATTATTCCCTCTTATACATTGATAGTTCAGTAAAAAGCACAGTTCAATGCACAAAGTATTCAGCGTTTACGCAGGGTCCGAGCACTACTAAAAAAAATTAGAATTAGCTACGAACTTCGTCGATAATCTGTCACTAAATCGCTCGTAGCTAACAATTTTTTTTGATAATTTGTTGCTAATCTGTCACTAAGTAGGATTAGCGAAGATTTTGTTGTTTAGCTACAAAATTTACCCGTCGCTAATTCCAGTTTTCTTAGTAGTGGGGAATAGTTGCACCCCAAGGGGGTGTGATGTAGGTAACTTACTTTGATGCAAGCATCAATGGCCGATTACATATCTCGAACCCATGACCTATAGGTCACACGGAGACAACTTGATCGTTACTCCAAGGCTCCCCTTCAGATTGATAGTTCAGTCACCTAAAATATAATTACAGGTAATCGTCCATAAAAAATGAGACAATGACCTGAAAAATAAGGCATGTTACTTGCTACAACAGGCTAAAATACACTGGTAGTGTAAAAGCTCAGGAGTAAACACTATTTTAAAGGGCGACAAAATCCAAAGTCTGATTTGAGGTAAAAGGAAAATTATTTGAGGTGGAAATTCCATGACTGAACTTCTAACCTCGTCTCCAGACTCCTGAGTTAGAGTTGTAGCATAATATATAGTTGTAATTTCAAAGTGTATTGCTTAGGTGAAGTATTTGAAATTATGGGATAAAAGAAAAAATATAGTAAACAAATTGAAGGGAAAAAAAGGATCATAGCATCCTTAATATTGTGATCTTTCATGATGTGAACATCTATATAAATTGCAAAATAAGAACTTTCCACACACCCTTTTATTAGTTTTATTTGACTTTAGATAGAACTGTTTGAATTGGCTTGGAAATTTTAGAGTAATTAACACTCTTTCTTTGTATTTTGCAGAGACAGGCCAATTGAGAATAAAGACATAGTGCTGTGGTATACATTAGGTTTCCATCATATTCCATGTCAAGAGGACTTCCCAATTATGCCAACAGTATCATCAAGTTTTGAGATAAAGCCAGTGAATTTTTTTGAGAGCAACCCAATTCTGAGGATTCCACCTAATTCTCCAAATGACCTGCCAATTTGCAAAGCTGCTGCTTCTGCTTGATCATCAGTGTGTTCTTTCTCTTGTCAAGTGTGCATAATATGTATAAAAGAAGGCGATAGACTTGTATTTTAGTCTCAAAATTTCATGAATAAAAAGTGAACTAGTTAGTTAATTAGTTGCAATTTCATTTCTGATGTTATTATTGTAGGAAAATGTTGTGTTTGACTGGGAATTGAACACAAACAATGAAACTTTGAAAAATGGGATTGTTAACAAATAGTTGGCCAGCTTTACTGTTTACTTTTTTTATCCGGTACACATAGATTATACATTAATTATACACAACTATACATATATTATACATCGGCCGGCCAGATTTACTGTTTACTTTTCTAGCCGGTACACATATATTATATATTGATTATACACAGTTATATGCACATTATACATATATTATACATCAACCGGCTATTTTTAATTTAAGAGATTAGGTGGACATCTATTTGGGTTAGTTCTTCTTGAAAATTTAAGCTATATGAGACAATTTGTATATTCATATATAAATGGCCTAAATATTTAAAATTGCAATAGATGTTGAAGTTTGGCAAAATGTCAAAGTCCCACATTGGTTGGGAGTTAAGTTTGGAGGGGATT